ACGCACAAAGACTATTTTTATGAGAGATATGTGAAAGACAAAAACCCATGGGAAGAACAAAGCTTTAGATCAACAACTAATTAAAAAAAAATCTTCAGAGAGGATTTAATTATTAACTTCCAACTAGGTGCCACAGAAGCTGTATTTTCCCCAGTTCTATGTTCTTCCGAAGATAATAAATGTCAATATGCTTATAAATTAAAAATACCCTATTTACGAAAACCATGAGATATGTTTTTGGTTTACCTAAAATCATATCTCAAGTGCTTTTTGGAACAGTCTTATAAAATCACCATGGTACAGCAGGGTACTACTGAATGCATGGATAACGTTGTTTCACCAAACAGAAGGAAATGTGACCCACTGCTTTCACTGATGCCCAGTCTCAGTGCTAACACAAATGAGGCACATTTGCCCTTATTCTTCCTCAGCCCTTTCAAAGGTATTGAAATGTTCAGTAGAACTGTGAATTCCAAAAAATTTGTGTTATTTCCTTTCACAGGACTCTTCAAAGTAAGAGGCAGAAGAATACACACGTGGTAGTACTGTGACTGCCTTCCCTTAAATTGACAAAAACATACCACAGCAAGCTTTCCTTTGAAAGCATTTTAACTAATGTTTTTCCTTGATACTAATGATACTTGTGACGCTAATTTCACTGTGTCGAAATGTTCTGAAACTGACAGTGCCCCCGGTTCCATTTTTTCATGCCTTTTCTAGGGAGATCTTTGATCTTTTGATTTTTCTCTTTAACAGTCAAATCATCAATATAAACATGCAACTGACTTGACATATTACAAATAGAATTTAGCAACCAAAGATCTTCAAAAGTGGAGAAGCCCATCAAAAGCAGTGGCTACAGTTTTGGCTTCCAACAATGTTGCTATTTTACTGACCAGCTTGCTTGAACTATAGAACTACAAGCAAAAATCATATTGATGACTCTGAATACACACTTCACTAAATTAAGGTATTCAATAAAATATGCAGCTGTGGCTGCCACTTTTCCAATGAACACCTTTTGTCCTCGAAAACTAGGATTACTTTGGTGGGGTGGGAAGACCAAGGGGAGCAGAGGATATTGGTGTAGTGGGTAGTACCAGTCAGGGGTAAAAACAGGATGCAAGAGAAATTTAACATCATCACTGGATATTTTTTATGTCTGGCAGAAGGAAATTTAAAAAAGACAAAACCAAAAATCGCAGCAACAAACTTCCTTGTTGTCTTAACACTAGTTGGTTTTGTAACACCCAAAACCATACCTCCATATGGAGCACATGAGAAATGTGTAACAGTAATCTTTTTTTCTGCCAGATGGATAAACACCTCAAACACACCCACAAATACTAATGAAAACCACCTTGGCCTCCTTCAGGAAGTCATTCAACACTTCACAGAAAAAATAGGAAGTTGTTGATAAACTGCTTGCAAGAACTACTTCCTGTAGGAAAAATAATTACGAGACTTGTTTGCTGGACAATCAGTTAACTTCTCCTCACACTACAACAACAGAAGTATTACACAAGCTCTGTAAGAATTAAGAGCATAACTCTAATTTAAAATGATCCAAGAGTAATTCTAAAACTGAACAAAATTTGTTTATTCTTTCTGCAAGCTGCTGTCTGCTATTCCCATTGCACATTATCTTTTGCCTCGAGAGCGATTCCCTATCTTTCTGCACAGTTCACCGAAATGTCAAGCAGCAGCTGGCTAACAGGAAGTGGTTAAAAAGCAATGCAATTGACATCACCACACAAACCAAGCTCGGCTTCTTTACTGTATGTTTAAGAATGGGCTACATCAGTGAGAGATGACTCAGATGTGACCACTTACTAACCAGCAAGTCTTAACTTATGAGCTCCGCTGAAGGAGCAGTATCACTAAAAAATAGTTTTACCAGCTGTACAGTTAGCAGGCCTTAACCCACTGCCCAAAATCATCACTAAGGGAAAATGAAACTCAGCATTACTACCCATAACAGTGAGATGAATTGCTAGTAAGTGGAATTCTGGCAAATCATGTGTTGGGCATTCATACATAAGGGGGTCTATTTATCCAGATGATAGTCTAATTTACAAGAGTAGTTCTTGTTCAAACCCTATAGTACTGCCCTCACCTTGTTTTAATGTGCATGGATACATGGGGTGTGTATATAAAATATCTGGCCAAACAACTCTGTGCATCTATCTCTATAAATACACACACAAACAGATGACTAAGTATTTTCTCTCCCATATACACTATTTTCATTTCTTTGCACAAATTACTGGGTTTGCAGTGCTTGACCCACTGATTAGTGGAAGTGACTGTAATTCCAGAGTGTATTAAGTATGGTACTCAATTTTGTATTATTCTCTTTGTACTGTAGCATATTATGATAACTATAACCATAGGGCTTACTGACATCTGGAAAGAATCTAATATGGTTACCTATTCTGCAAAGATGTTTCTAGAGCCTGATTGCCAGACTGTTCATGGAGCAATTGGAAACAAGGAGTGATGCAGCCAATGAAGAAAAAAAGCTGAATACTTGAAGAGACACTAAAAATCTGCATATGGTAGAAGGAACCACATTAAAGGTGATTTAGAATCAGAAATCTTAGTACACACATTTCAAGCAAATGTTTAAGGTATAACCAGGCAAGATGAGAGCTTTAGCAGGCTTGTAGGTGTGAACTAGAACTTACCACTCATCACTGAAAAAAACCTTTAGTATAAATCTTGCTACTCAAAACTAGTCTTAAATTTCTTTGGGCTTCCCATACATACAGAGCAAACGTTGTGCTAGTACTTTAAATGCTTTTTACAAATCTCAAAAAAACTCCAATGAAGTTGGTGGATCTTACCTGCACATAGTACTAAGCAACCTTTTATGAACAAATGTTCTTCAAGTGTGAACAGAGCTGTCCTCATTAGACTCTCCCATACCAGAGTATCACCCGAGGAAAGCCAAAAGGAAACAGCCCATTACACTGTTTAAAATCTCCCGAGGTCAGCATGTGACCCAGCAGGGAGAGGTTCAAAAAGCACAGCCTTTATTTTTTTTCCTAACAACCTGGTTTGTTTCCACTCCTTTCCCCTTCAAGACACATCCTTCACAGCTAGCAGCTCTTTCAATCATTTACTTTGGATGTCTGCTTGAGAACAAACGATCTTGCTCATGCAGATGAGTTTGCCAGACTTGTGTGTACTTTCCAGTCTCAGGCTCTTTATTGTTCTTGCTGAAACCTGACCCTTTGAAATGGATACCAGGACACCAAGAAAGGACAAAAAAACTTGCAAAAGAAAAAGGAAAGATTTTTGTGGTAATAATCAAACTGCAGAAAAAGCTTTCCAAGAATAAATCTTTCAGTCTAATTTCACCTGAATGAGCACAATTAAAAAAATTCATTAGAAGAACAGGAAGACAATTTTGTCTCTTAAACTCTTTGATCTTCTGTAAAATTGATAGTGCTATCAAGAATAAACACTTGTGGCAGTAAAACTTTAAAATCAAATATCTATTTTTCATGCTTCATAAGGTGCTCTTTAAGAGCTCTCACTAACACAGTCAAAACAAAAGTTTGTTTTTCATTTCAAAACTCATTCTGTTCTTTTTTCAAGGTTCAATGAGCTACACTTCTCAAATGGCATAAATTACACAGTTCAAAAAAACCTTCTACTTGCTCCTGCTGAAGAGCTCATATTCTAGAGCATACTGATCGGTTAAACTTCACCAAAGAAAATATCACATCTTCAAGATCTATAGCTAATGCTTATTTTCACATTTCTAATAGAGAATGACTGTGTTCAAAAGGGAACCTCCAGGCTCAAAAAATTTCAGACAAGTACTGCACCCTCTTTTTGGTTGAAAAAGAAAAGGCAAATTTCTCTGTATAGAAATACCACAGCTACAGGAACAAGAAACATTTTTAAGAAGTTCTGCAAGTTCAATTTTCATTGCAGACAATGTAGATTTGTTATTATTTTTGAAGCTACAAGCTCAACTATTTCAATCAGATGCAGGTATTAATCACAGTGTTTGAGAGGGAAAGGTAGTAATAAATACATTTTTCTGGGCTGAAACAAGTTTTCCATAAGTAACACTGTGTTACGTCTTGCCACCCTGCAAATGACATACAATGGGTTATTTAGAGACTTGCTGTTAAATAAAAAGTTCAAAGTACAGTCAAAGTATTTGAGGGCAAGTTATGGTCTTGGTGGGCACATTTTCAGAATGAAGGACAAGTCCCTGCTGTTTTCGAAAACTGCACAGAATAAAAGAAAGTCATTACTGATGGACTGGGTGTCAAATGGATGGCACGTCTAACTTTCTTCAGCTATGGAAAAGGTGATACTAATTTCACTGTGTGGAAAAGTTACAGCTCTAGGAACATGAAACAATGTTAGAAATTCTGAAATTTCCTCTTCATTGCCAGGAATGTAGATGAGTTAATTTATAAGCACAAATACAGTAATCAAACAGATACGTTAATTACCTCAGGAAGAGAGAGTAGGCAAAAAACATTTTGGTTGTGTATTTAAACAATTGTCTTTAATCAAAATATTAGAAGTCCTGACATACTGTCATTCCAATACTCTCTAAAGTTAACTCTGTATTTTTACATCTGTATTATTAAAATGAAGTAAAACGTATCTTGACCTGCATGATAACTCTGACAATATTCAGCAAATCCAAAAGTCTCATTGTTCAAGAATGACTATGCTAATTTCACTGATTTTTTTAGTACACAATATGATGGATAACATTCTTTAGATAAGATTAAGATAGGACAAATATTCATAGAGTACCATACAGTTTTCAGAAACTGCAGAATTGATATGTGAGAAACACTGAAGTGGTAGGGTCCCCTACTTAAAATCACAAAGCATGTTTTTAAAAATACATATTCTAAACACAATGAAATTTACTGACATTCTAAGATGGTAAAAAATGTACATATCCCAACAAAAAAAAAAAGAGCCAGAGATACAGCTAATTGAAAAGAAATTTTACTTACTTAAGAAAGTATCTCTGTCCAGATGGTGTCTTAGCCATCTCCCAACCCGGTGGCAAAGGTACATCATCAGGGATCTCGAAAGAAGACTGGCGGAGGTGTTGAGAAGATGGAGCTCCAGGCCCAGTCACTACTCCAGAGGGTGTAAGTGTCCCTGGAGAAACAGCTCCCAGCTGCAGTGATGCTGGAGAGGAATGAGCTCGGACATGCTGTGGGGTCAGGGCTCCTGCTGTCCCGGCATCAGTGCTGGCCTGCCAGGAGTGAAATTATTTTTATTAAGATTCCTATATTTCAGTAGAAGTGCAGCTGTCAGAAGACATTTCGCTTTAAAGGAACATTTCAGGAGAGATTCATAGCTCAGTTATTCTAAAGTTCTGCTTATTTGCCAGTTGTAACTGTTCAAGCAAGCCTCCATGTAGTTTGGTTAAAAACCCCTGTGCAAGTCAAGAAATATTAAGTGTTGAGAGCCCTGAGTTTTATTTTGAAACTAAAGTTCTTTCTCCTCAGCACAGGGTTAAGAACAAACCTGCCTGCAGTCAGCAGATCTCGTCCAGTGCATTGAGTGGTTTGTGACTGGACTGCACCCACTCCCTACCATCACACCCACTTTCTGCTGGAGGAATTAATTTCCCACTCTCCTTTTCAAGTGGGGGTGTGGGGATTCAAGTAGATGCACACACCATCCCACCCCCAGACCGCAGGGGTTTAAAAGATCACACAAAGACAAAAGCAATAGTGAAATGCCAACTGGCAGCAGCCAGTTCCAATGGAGGAAGACTCATTAATTCAACCATTAAAAAAACCTAAACAAGAAGACTGAACATAACATTTCCTAATAACTCGAACTTTTGAGGGTATAAAGAGTCTGTCCACGCTTTATCCAAAGCAAAGCTTCACCAAACAGTTGAACCAGTCAACCAGAAATGACTCACAAACCCATTCACCGGAGTCACCACTCATAAGTACACAGAAAGTCCTTGCCAGTACTAAATACACATCCAACATGGAAAACGCAGCTCTGAAAACCTGGTTAAAGTAAAACAGACCAGAACAACATTGACACCTATAATGAGATGCATGTATCAGTCCCTGTCACACCTCTCTACACAAGGTATTACACCATAAGAGGCCCCACTTACACACTCTTACAGTTCTGCTTCACTCCATCTGTATGCAACCACACATGAAGCTCCATGTGTGCAACTGGAAACAAATCAGTTTGCACTTACATCCAGACAAAAGAGTGGATTTGCAATATTTAAATTCCTGGGAATCACAGATTTATAGAAAAGAGAGACCTTTTCTTTAAGCTGAATGTTTATGTGGCACAACTAAACAGAAAGGAAAAATGAAAACAATCCACAATGAAGCAAATTAGTCTCTCTTGCTTTAGCTGGATTTCAAGTTAATGTTTTAGGAACCACTGAGTGGTACAAGGAACAGTGATCCAACTAAATACAGATATACTTTACAGACCAGATTAACATACACAAGGAATATAAAGCTAAGCCTAAAAGTACAATCAAAAGTTGTACTTTTAGTGCATTTCAATGCACTAAATGCACTTTTAGTGCATTTCAAACACGACAGCTATTTAACTGCAGTTACTGTATTAAACAAGACATAGTGTTAGAACGTCTACCCAATGTCTACACAATGGAACCGCAATGAGATTTGCACAAGCTGGGAGAACACTATACATAAACCCCTTATTCCTTGCTGGATTTCAGTATGTTATTAAACGTCTGCAACTCAGAAGCTAGCAAAACTACAGAAGCAGATCAGCTCCACCCCTTCCAATTTTCTTTTCAGTATTCCTATATGAAGGCCAGACTGCTTTTTCGAGTATTTGGAAAATGAATTAACTCCTAGGCTGGGAGAGTACGTGCCAAGGTTCAGCCTGGAACGAACTTCTGAAGTCAAGTTATAAATCGTTCAAAACAGAAGTTTAATAATGGAAAGGTTGACAGGCCCTTAACAACACGGCACCAGTACACAGCGAGTTTCACCCTTACTAGCTACACAGATAAAGTGACAATAGCCAATAATAAAACTAATTTTATAGCTTAGCAACTAAGTTCATTACTTAATAACACTTGACTACATATGCACAGTCTCCATCCAAAGCGTTGGTTAACAGCAGTAGCTGTCCCTCGTATTCACACCAGCACTTAGGTCTCGGTACAAAAGTCCCTCTGCTTAAACACCAAAAGCTCCCTGAGGCCGAGCGCCCACCCTGCCCCGCATTCCCCACCCCGTTCCTGCTCGGCCCTGCCCCCGCATCGCCCCTTCCCCCCGGCGCTGCCCCGCCCCTTCCCAGCCCTGCCCCGCATCCCTCCCCCGCTCCCTGCGCGGCCCTGCCCGCATCGCTCCCTCCCCCGGCCCGGCCCGGCCCGGCCGAGGGAGGCCCCACGGCTCCGAGCCCCGCTCCCAGGCTGCCGCCGCTGCCCGGGATGCGGCGCTGCGCCCGGCGGACCCTGGACGCCGTCGGACCTGGCGTCTGGCTCGGGCATTAACTTCGGATGTGCGTGCCTGTGTATGTGGGGGGGTTAATCCTACTCAACCCAGCGCCGTGCTGAAATGGTGGAAAAGTCACATCCATATTTACTGTCTGACGGGGCGAGGGGGTGTAGGTTTGGCACCACTTCATCGACCCCTTCCACAGAGGGCAAGGTATCGGACCGCAAAGCGACATTCAAAGCCAAGCGTTTTCACCGAAGTTTTAGGGTCTCACCCCCACTGTCGCCCTCCCGGTGAGGCCGAGATAGCCAAGGAGCGGATGTGGAGTTCGAGGCCCCGCTGGAGACCGGGACGGGGCCAGCACTCGCTCGCCCTCCCGCCGCGGCCCCGGCCCCGGCGGCGTCTCGGGGCGCGGGAGGCGGCGCTGCCCCAGGGGAAGAACAAATAAAGGGGTGTGGGGGCGGCAGAGAGCGCCCCGACAGCCGCGGCCGGGCGCCCCCCGCCCGCTCGGCCCCGTGGATTCCCGCCCCGGCCCCCTCCCCCACACGCCTCCCCCGGGAGGAGCTCGGCGGCGGGGAGGGGGAGCACGGCCGGGCCGGGCCGCCCCCCGCCCGCCCGCGGCGCGGGCCCCTGCCTTCCCTCCCCCTCACCTGGCGGGAGTGGGCCTTGGGCTCGGGCGGCTTGAAGAAGGAGTCGGGCAGTTTCCGCAGTCGCATGGGCAGCGTGTGTGGCACGTTGGCGCCCTTGGGGTTCATCACTGCGTTGAACAGCGCCTCCAAGTCGGTCTCCGAGTCGCCCCGCACATGGACGATCTGGTGCCCCGCCGGAGGGGGCCCCGCACCCGGGGGCTGCGCCGCGCCGGCCGGGGCCCCCGTCACCGGGCCAGGGGGCTGCGGCGGCGGCTGCTGCTGCTGCGAGGCCGGGGGCTGCGCTGCCTGCGGCGGCTGCTGCGTTTGAGGCTGCCCAGGATCCATGGCTCCGTCGGGACCCCCCGGCGCTTCCCTGGCGGGGCTCGGCGGCTCAGAGCTCGGATTCCCAGTCCCGCATGCCCCGCTCCCCGGGCCGCGGGTTCGTCCTGCTGTCGCCGGTGCCTCTCACCCCTCGGTCGGGAAGCCGACCCGCCCGCGGCAACTGGCAAAACAACTCTCTGGCCGTGCGGCGCTTCCCCGAGCCCGGCCCAGCCCGGCCGGCGCCTCTGTCCCGGCGGCGGAAACTAACTCACACAACACACCAAACAAAAGTTCGCAGTTACGCCCGCCCGAATCACTCTCCGCCGCCGGCTCCGCCCCTCCTGAGCCCGCCCGCACCGTATCCGAGCGAGGCAGCCCGTGCTCGCAGCGCTCCTGCGCGCGCCCGCCCGCACCGCCTCCCGCCCGGGGCACTGCGCGGCCCCCCCGGACCCCGCTCCGCCCGCGGGCCCGGCCCGGCCCGCACCGCCCCCCGCTCCGCGCCCGCCCGCTGCCGCCAACCACAACTTTTCTTTCTCCCTAACTTCTATCCCAACTTCCAGGAGGCCGCTCCGCGAGGGGGTGGGGAGGGGCGGCCGCGCTTCCCTGCCCCCGGCCCGGAGGGGGCATGGGCCCGGGACCCCTCCCGCCCGTCCCCTCCCGCGCTTTCTCCCGGTTCCGCAGAGCTTTCACCGACTGCAGAGCCTCCCCTGCAGTTACGCGTCGCGGGTCTGTAAAGCTGGCTCATAAAAAAAAAAAAATGACGAGACCTCTAGAGAAATAGATTTTATTTGATAAAACGGGTGAGGGAATGGGGGAAAAGGCCAAGAAAACAGCTTCAAGAACTATAAATACCGGAAAACTTTTGTCACTAACCACATAGTAACATCTGAGTGAATGGAAGCACTTCCGAGCACGTCATCAAGGAGCAGAATTTTCCTCGTCAGAAAACTATGCAATGTATACCTGAACCCAACAGAAAGAAGGCAACCTCCAATATAAAACCGGGGACCAGACAGGTTTATAACTAGTTTGTAAATAGGCTTCCACCAAAGCAGTGATACAGAATATTCACGTGTCGCTTGCAGGGATCCACAATCAAGTAGGCAAAAGTCTGTTGGTGGCTTTTGCTTGAAGGGTAACACAGGCCATTAGCATCCTGAAAGGAAGAAAAAAATCAAAACAGTATTAGGGACAATAGGGATATCTGTAAAAGAATTAATAATATCTGAAGCTAATAATTTTGTTCCAGTTGTAACTGTTCATTGCACAGCAAAATACAACAAATACACTGCAGTTTATTTAAATGGTATATGTCCCTGTGAGGATCCCAACACTACAAAATGCACGGTAATTCTGGCTGGATGTATCAAATAATCTTGAGGTAAATGTAATATTAATATAAAATGTAAAATTAAACATGTAATAATGCGTTTACACAATTAGAGCCTAAAATACAAATAATTAAATATACAACGGCCCATCATGTTTCCTTTGAAAGAGAAAAATAATCACTTACTCTATATTAATACATAAAGCTGTTCCATCCATAATTTTTTTTCACTTAACATTTGCTAATGCATCTGTTCAAGTTGCAATATTTGCATTTAAGCAAAATGCTTATTACAGATCACATTAACAACTTTGGACTATTATTGGAAACATTTTGTGTGCCACTCCTCAGAAAGGGTTTGAAGGGATTCTGGACACCTAGCTGCAAAATTCTGGTTCTGAAAAAAATACATTAAGCTGACAATCAGCAGGGGAACTGGGCTCTTCACGTTAACATCCTATGTCTGCACATGTCAATAAAAGCTTCAGTGTTGACAGAGCAGCACAGCTGGACACACTTCAAATCCAGTAGGGATCCAGAAACTAGATGGAGAGCTTTTTAAAGCGTTGGGTTTTTTAATTTAGTTGGGTTTTTAAATTTAGTCAGCGTGGTAATTGAACACGTGAAGGACCAATAAATACATAGCTCACACTTCCTTTCTTTTAAAACATGTAACAGTTTCCTCCTGCTCCCCAACACCTTTGTACAACAGTTGCAGAGATGTGGATTCTGTTACACTTTTCCTGCTTGAGGAAAATTGCTACATTGCATATATTCATTTTCTCCAGGAAAATTTTAAACTCACAGACTACAGACTATTCCAGATTTCACATCTCTTGCATTCTTCTGTTGAAGCTGTCTTCCTTTGCATAAAATAATCTCTCTTTTTTTGGACCAAGGAAACATGAAAACTGTAACTCAGTGGTTAAGTCAGTCAGCTGAGAAGGAAAAGAGCTGGGTCCCCATTTCTGCACCAAGGACCATTTATGAATTTTATCCTTTAGCTTTTACTGGCACCCCATTTTCTCCTGCTGTTTTGAAGAGAATGAATCCATTATTAGATGTTCTAGTGTCTTCCTTTGAGGCATTATTCAAACCCCTAAATCTTAAATTAAGCTAAGCACCTCATAAAAGCACTGTTTTAGACAGGTAGAGATTTGGTAATGTTTATTCCCAGAATTTTCCAATGGTAGTCAAATGCCACAAGCTAGAAATAGCATTCTATTTTTAAGCAGCACAGCATACAAGCTCTGTGGCTCCAATTGTAGGATACCTAGCTTTCTTCAGGTGTTTTCTAAGGATACACATGTAACAAACACTGGATTCTCAACTGCAGTAAGGAGAGCAAATTTTGAGATTTTATAGTGCTCAGCATCAAAAGGCATTTGGAATTTGATCCAAAAATAACCTAAGCTCATGCATGTAACTGAAGAAAAAAAAGTAACAGACAAGATCAACATCAAGATGTGATTGGTAGTTAAACTCTTTTCCCATTGCTACCAAGGATCCCACTCCTGCAGTCTGTGTGGAATTGATGGATGGCAGTTGAGGTTTTGACTGTTTAGGTGCAGTGTAAGTCCACTAAAAATTTGTTCAACAACTCAAGAACAAAAACAATATAAGTTCTGGCAATGAGGCATTTCCAGCAATATACCTAACTTGGTATCAAGAAAATATTCAATATAACCTAATGAAATGAAAAGGTTCTTAATTTTAGTCAGCAAAAGAGGTCATAAAACCCCTAAAATGCTTGAGCATAAATGTTCTGATATTTACATTCATGGATGTACACAAGTTAAGAATCATACCAATTCCATCTGCAGTGGACTTTGGTTCACACATGCAGGGGGTGTAATGATTGATTTACTGATGTTGGAGTAGGATCATTTTATTTTTTCTTTGTAGCAACACAGCTGATGATTTAAGAATACATATGCATAGCATAAAACAGAAATAAAAATCCTGCTGAACATTTTCAAAACTGCATAATGTAATTGACAATTTTAAAAAATACTTATTGAATAAACTTTGCATTATTCAGATTTCTAAAACTGCCACAGTTTGGGTTCAGGTAAAGAAAGTTCTAAAATAACAGTGAGCACTCCAATACTTAAGCTGTAAAAGTATTTCATTATATGCAAAGCTCCAAAGCTCTCAAGGGTATGTGGAGTTCAAGAGAGTACTTTGTCACAAAATCTAAAATTATTTATCTTGTGATGCCCAGGTCTATCAGGTCTTGACGCTCAAGAGCTCTACAGACGTTTTTAATAAAGACTTCAACAAATTAGAGGGTTGGACAATCACCAACCATATGGAGTTCAACAAAGTGCCAGATTCTGCACCTGGGATGGGGCAACGCTGGATGTACAGACAGACTGGGGAATGAGATGCTGCAGAGAGGGACCTGGGGGTCCTGGTCTGTGACAAGCTGAACATGAGCCAGCAGTGCCCTGGCAGCCAGGAGGGCCAACCCTGTCCTGGGGGCATCAGGCACAGCATGGCCAGCTGGGCAAGGGAGGGGATTGTCCTGCTCTGCTCTGCTCTGGGGCAGCCTCACCTCCAGGGCTGGGGGCAGTTCTGGGTGCCACAATAGAAAAAAGACATTAAGCTATGGGAGAGGGTCCAAAGGAGGGCAACGATGATGGTGAAGGGCCTTAAGGGGAAACCATATGAAGAGTGGCTGAGGTCACTTGCTCTCTTCAGCCTGGAGGAGACTGAGGGGAGACCTCAGTGCAGTCTGCAGCTTCCTTCTGAGGGTGAGAGGAGGGGCAGGCACTGATCTCTGCTCTGTGGTGACCAGGGACAGGACCTGAGGCAACAGCACGAAGCTGAGTCAGGGGAGGTTGAGACTGGATATCAGGAAAAGGTTCTTCACCCAGAGGATGGTTGGGCACTGGAACAGGCTCCCCAGGGAAGTGGCCACAGCACCAGCCTGACAGAGGTCAAGAAGCATTTGGACAACACTCTCAGGCACATGGTGTGACTCCTGGGGATGGTGTTTGCAGGGCCAGGAGTTGGACTTGAGCAACCTTGTGGGTCCCATCTAACTCAGCATGTTCTGTGATTGTGTGAACTATAACTTAAAGCTTTGAAATATTTACATTTCTAATAGTGTGCTTTTTCAGATATGGTTTTAAAATTGTGTTCAGCCATACAAGTCACTTTTACAAGACCAGCTTTTAAAAGTACATTTATTTTAAAAATTATTTCTCTATTTACATCAGGCTAGGAGGGTATCTGGAAAACTTGGCTTAAAAACTGTCAGCTCAACATAAGAATTATAATACTCTACAGTTATTTATCAAATGAACTCAGAAACTAATTCCACTGCAGAAATGTAGTTATTCCTTAAGAGAAACTTTTCATCACAAACATAAGACATTTGTGCTCCAGTAAGTGTCCTTCCTGTAAGTGCCATGTGGAGTGGAGTAGTTTTGATCCACATAACCATCAGTCTAGACACACTGTTTAAGCCTTTCTGTTTTTCGAGAGAAAATTCTTCAGCATGTTCTTTAATAGAAACTGTAATTTCAGAGTTCTTCTTCACCCCACAAATTTTCAGAAAGTGCAGTAATGCCCAGTTTTCCTCCAAGGATACAAGGAGGAATGTTAATGCCTGTTCTGCATTAACACTGGATCTTCTTTTGTCCATCTATTTTGTTTACAAAATTTGCTGAAGTTTGGTTGGGGTTTTGTTTGTTTGTTGTTGTTTTCTTTGTAGTACTGATGATATTTAATGTATGGCCAACACAGTTAGGGGAGCTCTTTAATGTCCATCTGCCTAAACCCTGAAATCTGCAAAGTTCCCATCAATGCATTTGATTCAGAGGTGTGAAAGGAACAGTAATAACAGGAGAACATCCAGTTACCAGGGTTTTGCCTTTTTGTTTTTATTACAGTTGGCAACCTAGCAGAAAGATAAATTTTGATACACCCATAAAGTGTTTATTTTCAAAAGCCTTTTATGAATCATACATAGTACTTAAAAGATGATGACCAACAGATGAACAACTGGGCTA